TTTCCCGCCTAAATATTCAGATTTCGCTTCGCTATGCCTTTAATCATTCTTAATTAGTAAACGTACACTTGATTTCCACACATGGAGTCTGGTGGTCTTTCTTTCCTAATTAATTAATGGAGAGGTGCTGACAATGCCCATGTGACTGCTATTCAACAAACACAATCCTGGCACCAGTTGTGGCCATTAAATGATTCTAAGAGTCATGAAGCAAATGGCAAGGTAAGGAGCATAGGGTGCCTCAGAGATGGGGGAAATCCTAGGAAGATCCACTCGGGAGATGAAAATTCTCCTTGCCAAAATCCAAGTAGGACTTTCAGTCCGTGAACGAAGAGGCACTTCTGTGTGGCCTGTACTAGGCTTCCTAAGTCCGCCTGAGGCATCCTGCACTCCTTTCCTTATCATGCTGCCTCTCTGCTTGAATTTTGGCTCCATCTCATCCCTGGGGGCTGGGCTGATAAGAGCTGCCTCCTGAGAGTCCAGTTCCCCTCTGTGCATCGAAGGGAACTCCTTAAGCATCTTCAGGATTTCAGCTCCATTTCTCACTCTATCAAAAGAGTTCACTTCCCCTTGACAGGCACTTCTTTCAGTCAGCCCCCAGAGACAAGAGGAAATCCTATCAGCAGGCAGTAGCATATTACAACCTTCATTGCTGGCTTCCCCATTGACTTTCTAGGGAAGCTGGCAGAAAAGATTGTGTGGCGATCACACGATTCCAGGACATTTGGCAGCCAGTCGCAAGTGCAAACAGGTTGCTAAGCATCCAGATCATGAACACATGACTATGGGGATAGTAATGCTATGTTTTGGGTGGCCATCATAATTCTGGACCATTATTAAACAAATAAACAGCTGTAAGTCAAGGACTACCTGCATTCCTGAGCAACAACTGAGCTTTGGTTATGTTTGTAGCACACTGACCCAATGTGCTAAAACTGAGCAATGCTGTCTTTACTGTTAGAGAGTATTGTAAGGGGATAGATACACCTACGGCTGGTAAGAGTTTACCTCTTCTCCATCTTACTGAAAAGCAAATGTTTTAGAGATATTGTTTATAGTCATCTTCTTAAAAAACATGTAAAGCTATGTGACAGTGTGGACATAACCTTGAAGAAGGAATGCGAGAGCAATTATGAAAATACTAATTCAATTCAGAGAAAGTGGAGGCGGTGAGAAAGAAACTCAAGGTGACCCTGCCTTGATTATCTTTGATATATGAGACAGAGAGAAATTATGATAGGTTTCAAGAATCTATTATCATCTGTTTACCTGACGTACCTTGAAAGGTTGACATATATTTAGCTATTAATTTCAGTTGTAATTCAAGCTGCTAATTATCAGCTTTAAAGCACTACCAGGAATGTAATCAGGTTATTTGTAATATCAGATTGAATAGGGTAGGCAAGCTGTAGGTCTCCTCCTTAAAATGTTGCCATCTCATTGGATCTCTGAAGCAGGATTTTTCTGAGATTCCCTTTACTCATGGAACAGCTTCTTACTAGTAATCCACCAGTCCCCACTCTTGCAGTCTTCCAAAAGGCCATCAAGACCTGGATTTTTAACTAGGTGCTGGGGTAGAGTGAGTGTCATTGGTCTTGGTTGCTGGGGCACCACAAGATAGGTACTAGGTTCTGGTTGTGTGTAACATTATACTTGTGTGTAATGTTATGGTTATGGTTCAGGGTTTTTATTGTTGTTGTGAGAAGTCCAGAGGGTGGCAGACATGCAAATCTTATAAAACAAAAAGAAATTTTCATGTGTGTCAATTTTTTCTATTAGTATCATCATCACTATTTGGAATTGCATATAGTGCAATTACAGTTGGGATCATTACTGTCAGAAGAAATTGAACCTTCCAGCTTCTCCTATGACTATAGGGATAGCCATGGGCTAGAAATCTATATGCTTTTATTTGTATCGTTTCATGTTACTGAAACATTTAATCATAATCAAAATTAGGTAAAAGAAGTAAAAAATAAACTCCTTGATTCCTTGAGACATGCAAGTAGTGTATGAGAGATTAACTTGCTTCGGAAGTCTCCAGATAGTGAATCACACCTTAGAAAATGAGCCAGATATCCAGTTCGCAACAACAGTACAGAAACTGTTTATAACATTCCTTTTTTTAAAAATGGTATAGAGACGGATTTAAAGTCTCTTACGCTTATCAATTAAGCCCATAATTTTACATTAAAATGTCAGAACAGAAGATACTAAATCATCAAGGATTGCATCTACTAGATGATTTATACTTCATTCTGATCAAGCACTTTGCAAATAGGACATATATTTTGGCTTTAACCAAGCGCCTTTCTTCCTACACAGAACAAGATAACATCAATGCTTCTGATATCTTTGTCAATCTGTAACCTGTGAAGATACAGCCCGTCTACTGCAGAGCTGCATCCATCATTGTTTTCCCTTGTATAGGAATAAGACGCTGAAGAAACTTAGCAGCAGTTTTTTAAAGATTTTTTAAAAAAAAAAACGCCGAGCGATGCCAGAACAAATGCTTCTAACTGAGAGGACTTTTCCCCCCAAACCACAAGAAAGCCGTTCTATTAAGTAAGGATCTTAGTTCCGAAACCCTTCCCTTTTCAGAGAAGTTGGCAATAATTAATCGGCACCGCCGAATTGAAAACCACAGCACTGTAGCTGTAGCTACGCAATCGCAGGCGTGCCACGTGCTCTCAAAACACACTCTGGCAACAAACCCCGCGTTCTCTTTCTCTCTCTCTCTCTTGCAAAAGGAAAAGATAGGAGAAGCCCAAGCGGTCCTTTTTGGAGACGGGGACATCATCTTGCTGGGAAGCCCTCGTCCAACATGGCCCCAGTAAAGCCCCTCCCTTCCTTCGCCTTGCACCCCAACCCTTACCTACTCCATTTTCCACCTCGGCAGCTTCCTATTTTCACACGGCCATGCGTGCATCTGCATCTCTGTCGCCGCTTTTCCGGTCCACGCGGCCGCCCACCCACCTACCTCTCCGACGCCTCGCGGTTCAACCCCGGAACAACACAGCGGGCCGCGACCTCCCGATTCCTCTCCCCGCCATCCCCGTCCCGAAGCCTCGGGCAACTCGCTTACCTCCGTGACGATGGTGGAAAGATAAACCTCCCGGCTATACTCCCAGCCATCCAGGCATTCCTCCCTCTTCACCTGGCTGAGGTTGATGTCGCGGCCGGGCACCAGATTCCAGGCAGAGAAATTGATGAGAGCCTGCAGGCTGTAGCGGCTGCACCGGCTCAGCACCTGCCGCCCGTCGCGCTCTTCCAGGGGAATGCTGGCGTTCAGCCACTCCGCGCTCAGGTTGGCGTTGGCGGGCACCCGGCACCGGTGCTCGGGGGTGCCGGCTAGGAAAACGGCGGACATGCCGTTGAAGCCATTGGGAATGATGCTGGCGCTGAGCAAGAAGAAGATGAGCCGCTGGTAGGGACCCCACTCGCCCAGGAAGGCGATGATCTCGTCGTAATCCCGCATAGCGGCTACGGGCACAAAGAACGGCCGGCGGAGGAAGAGCTACACCCCCCACGCCGGGTGCGAAACAGAGGAGCCCGCGCTGCGCCCTTCTGACTGGTTCTGGCATCTCTCCGGAGGTGGGGTCTCTGCCGGTCAGTCTCCGCCTTTTTCGCCTCCCCCCGCCACCCCCCACAGCCACCCCCCCACCGAGCTGGTTTCTGATCGGCCCCGCCCGAGACAACCTTCAGCCGATCGGAGAGGTTTCATCCTGCCGGAAGGCAAGTCGCTCGTGAGCCCGCCCGGAGGCGTCCTTAGGGCGACGCCTAGGCTTTGGGCGGGAAAAGGCATCGAAACGCTGGTAAACAAGCCGGCTCATGTGCCGACGGTGGGCCCTGAGAAAGAGAGGTTACTCGGCCCTCTTGCTGTTTCTTCCGCTAAAAAGACTCGCGTGTGCCCGCGAAGGCTCTGCAGGAGAAATGGACAGAAGCTGAAGTGTGGCTTGGCGTGGTTACTCCTGGTTAGCTCAGACAGTGGTCTAGGCTTACATCAGAGCTACTAGTAGCTAACCTTTGGTCTGGGTTCACCCAATGCCTGAGGTTAAAATGTGGCTGGCTAGTTTGCTGGAAGTCAGCCGTACAATAGTAGCTAGTTGTGACAAAGATCATTGAATGGCAAAGGTGCTTTTTTCAAGAGGCAACTGGAACTTTCTTGTTTTTCTTTGAAGACGTTTGTCTTCTCATCTAAGAGGCTTCTTCAGCCCTGATGTAAAAAGCACTTTTGGGACAACCATGACCCGGATGACTGAGAATTTCCATAGGCCTAATTGAATCACGTATTTTCTTGTGTATTGTAGAATGGCTTTCAACCCTGGTGCTTAGTTGGTGATTCAATCTCATGCGAACCCCAAAATAGTTAATTCCACACATCCTGGTTTAAATTAAACAGCGATAAGAATGCCATGTAAAAATGCTCTGTTCATCTCTCATTGTGAAGAAATGATTTTAGAATTGCTTTGTAAAGGGTGTGCCTTAGTGTTATGTGTTAAGCCTACTGCCCACAATTGTTTCCACTTAATGCTGCTGCATTTGTAAATGACTTAAGTATTATCCATGTGATACAGAAAATGGTTCTCAGCTTTTGTTTACGCGCAAGAGCAGTATTTCATGTTGTTCAATGCAGTGCCTTACAAATCAAGAGCTAGCATCAATAAGAACAGCAATAGCACTTAGACTTATACATTGCTTCATAGTGCTTTTACAGTCCTCTTTAAGCGGGTTTACAGTCTTAGCATATTGCCCAGAACAATCTGGGTCCTCATTTTACCCACCTCGGAAGGATGGAAGACTGAGTCATCCTTGAACCGATGAGATTTGAACTGCTGAACTGCAGCTAGCAGTCAGCTGAAGTAGCCTGCAGTACTGCACTCTAACCGCTGTGTCACCTTGACTCATCATCAAGCCATGTTGTTTCTTTTTATCAACTTGTTTTTGAGTTTTACCGTATATAAAACATTATCTTCTCCATTGCCAATTATTTCACTCCCGTTGATGTTGTTGATGACAGCTCTGTTAGTGTTTATAAACAAATAATGAAAAATTTAAATCTTTTTGCTTCCAATTATATGATTTGAATTATAATTAGAACAACCTAGTTGTAAGGTGATTTAGGTGCGACATCTAGGTTGATAGTACTGGGTGATTTTTATTTAATCTGCCTGGGCTACTTAGGCTAGTTGGGATTTCATAGCAACCTTGGTTTGCCCCAAATCATCATACACCTAATACACAAAACAGGGTACACGTTACACTTATTTTACACCATGGAATGGTTAAAATATGGCCTGGTGGTAGGAGATATAACAATTTCACCTTTTTCATGGACAAATCACTTTCTAGTGACTATGGATTGACTGGTACCACAAACCTCTGTAGGGAGATGGTACCAGTTAGATTTATCTTATTATGAGAGGAACAGGGTAGTGGAACGATTGAAGAGGATATTTGTGTGACCTTTCCTCAATAGATCCTAAATCTAGCCATATTGGACAACTGTTGCTAGGTCTATAATCTGCTCCTTTAGGGCAGTGTTTTTCAACCACTGTGCCGCGGCACACTAGTGTG